TCCAGGCCAACAGTGCTATCCGGGAGGAATCACCACTTAAGGGAACTTCGGTCAGATGAGCGGGTGTACAACAACATTTGTGATCAATGCCAAGACGGCGCCCAAGATGCAGGCCAAGTTCATGGCCTGCGCCCGCGGCTGGAGCCGACAAGGCCCAGAGCCGCCGCGCGCCGGGACCTAATGGGCCCGCGCACCTGCGAGGGCCGCGCTGGTCCTCCGTGGCCGCGCGGGGCCGACGGACAGCGCGCCCCGGTAAAATGGCAAACCGCATTGGCCTGCGCCAACGCCTGGGCCGACTGGGGCCCGGAACCGCCGCGCGCCCGGGCCTGGTGGGCCCGCGCCCGCGTTGCTGCGAGAGCAGCGTTTACCCTCCGTGGCCGCGCGGGGCAGTCGGACAGCATGCGCCCGAGAAAGATCAAGCCGTATTGGCCCGCTTCTGCGGCGGGGGCTGACTGGGCCCCGCGGCCGCCGAACTGGGCGCGAAATGGCCCGGCGGGCAGGCGACGCCCGTGCGCCCGCGGGCAGGAAGTGTCCGCGCGCGCGAAAGCCGCGGAGGCCGCGCCTGGCCCCCGGTGCCGATGGGCCGACAGCGCCCGCGAGGAGACGAGCCGAAACGCGCAGATCGAGCTCGCGCGAGAGCATGCCGAGAGGCCGCGCGCGAGCAGAGGAGGCGCGCGCGCCAGCCCGCGGCGGAAGAAAGGTCTTGACCTCCAGCCAACAAAACAAACGAGAGGAGCCCAGCGTGGCAGAAGAGGAAAACACCTGCGCCTGGCGGAGGAAAGAGCGGGGAAGAAACCTGCGCGGGGAGAACAGGGCGGCGACCAGCGCGGGCGCGCGGCGGCGAACGACAAGCCAGATAGCCACGATACGACAAGCGCCCATGCGACACCCCCGACGCGACCGACGGACAGCCGCGACGCGACCAGCCACGCGGCCGCGACTTGAAAGCCAGACAGCCAGGACGCGACAACCGGACAGCCAGACAACCGAGCCAGGGCAGCCCGCCACCCGCGACAGACAGGCAAACAGCCCTGACACGAAGTCCGACACAGTCAGGCAGCCACGACAGACAACCACGACAAACAGTCACGACACCACAGCCGAACAAGCACGACAGGCAGCGGCGGCGCAAGCCGAGGCAGCCGCAACCGACAGCCGCGACGGACAGCCACGACACGATAACCACGACAGGCAGCCGCGACGGGCAGCCGCGACAGACAGCCACGACAGGCAGCCAAGCCAATCAGCGACGACATGACAACCAGACAGCCACGACAGGCAGCCGCCACAGACAGCCACAGACAGACAGACAGGCAGCCACGACAAGCAACCGCGACGGCAGACAAAAACGAATGCGCCTGCCATGGCGGCGCATCGCGGAAAGACCTACGACGCGCGCGCGCGCACCAAGGCGCGCCGCGATCTGCCATGCGCGATCGCCGCAGTGCGCCTGCACTGAGCCGCGATCGCGCAAGCCGTGAGACACGAAAGCAGCAACCAAGCAACCGCGAGGAGCGGCGCGCGCGCGCCAACCCTTCTCGCGGGGCGGCGCGCCGACGAACGAGCGCGCGGGCCCTCCACGTGGGGCGGCGCACGTGGGATGCGCGAGCACGGGGGGTGGCCCGCGTGCCCGTCTTGCCCGCCTGCGCGCGGGCCTGGCGCGGGCGCGGAAGTTGTGCCTGCGCACAAAAGCAGCACTTGGGTGCGCATGCGTGTGCGCTCGGCTATGTTGTGCACCTAGACGGGCGGGCAACGGCACCTTGAAGAGGGAGTGGACTGGGCGTGCAAGAAGAGCGAGCAGTGACATCTTCAAGGGGGAGCGGGGGAGGAGGACGGGCAGTGGCCGCTTCAAGAGGGCGCGCACGATGCGTGCGAGAAGACGAGCAGTGGCAATCTTCAGTGGGGGCGGCCAGTTCGTGCGAGAAGAACGGGCATTGGCAGCCTCAAGAAGAAGCGGACAAAACGCGCGAGAAGGACGGGCACTGGCAAGTGCGAAAAAAAACGAATGTGAAGCAGAGACATCACATGATCATATACAGCACGGAGGTCAGTGCGAGCAGCCAGTGGCCGCGAGTAGAGCCCTGTGGTATGCGTGCGCAGCAATCGCGAGCAAGTGGTTTGCGCATCTGGAGGGAGGTGAAAGAAAAAGCACCGTCGTCAAGAATGGAGTGAAAGTAGAAACTGGGCCCGCAACCGACAGCCAGTGGGAATCAGAGGGCGTCAACGGCGAAAGGGGGGACCCGAGCTGCGGTGGACCGGGCCGAACTGGAGCGCCGATACCAGCGCGATCCTGGGGTCGAACAGGCTGCCCACGTGGCACCTCGGGGCAGATTTCGACAGGATGATCCTGAAGACCACAGGGGCGAGGGCGCCGCGCAGACGCACTGCGATGAAGCGCGCGAGGAAGGCCAGGCACGCGGAGGCGAAGGCAGAGCCAACCGTCACCACCCGAGAAGGCGGTGAGTGGGGGGCAGCGCGTGTCGGAGGGGTCGGACGTGGCAGCGAAGAGGTGGCTGCTCGGCGGCGCGGGCAGGGCGCTATGCTGGCCGCCCGCCATCGAAGAGCGAATGGATGTTCCGGCGTTCGGGCCGCGGTGGAGCGCAGTCCGCCTCCTACTCCTCCTCCTCCTCCTCCTCCTCCTCCTCCTCCTCCTCCTCCTCCCCCTCTTCCTCCACCGCCTGCTCCTCCTTTTCCTCATCCTCCTCCTCCTCCCCCTCCTCCTCTGCTTGCGGCACCTCTTGTCAAGCGCAAGGCCGAGAAACCACATGTGTTTCAAGCCACAAGGCACATAACCATTGTACTACATTATTTTCCTTCCGGCGATCCCCACCAAAACCTTACGCATTTGTTCTCAACGGCGCGCGGTCGCCTAATTGGTCGACTGCTGTCGCTTCTTATTCAAAAACGGTTCAACCGTGTTCCATGTAATCACGCGTTTCATGATATGCTTAATTGTGTTCCGTTCTGTTCTCGACGGGCCGGCGTGACGTCGTGACGCCTGTCATTTTAGATGCGTCGGTTGTAATGATGGTTATCATCACGTGCACGTGTATCCATTGATTGAGTAAATCATGTTATGCAAATCTCTATCACTATATGCACTGAACTATTATCGTATGACCTTGTCTGTGGCACTATGGTGTGGCAAACTATGTTATGCCAGGCTATGATGCTGTATGCTATGTTGCGTGTTGTGGTTGACAGCTCCACTCGGTTTAGAATATTGTGATCTGATTTGCTAGTATGCTTCGCTATGTTCTGATGTCGCGTTATGATATGTTCGGTGATGCTGTCATGGCATGACTATTTTGTGTCATGGTGTACTATGGTATGATCGTCGCATATCTGTTATTGTGTGTTATGCAGTTTCTTTTATGTCATGTTCTGCTCTGGTATATTATGTGGTGATCTGTTTGTTGACGGCTCGGCCGTGTATAGTATACTCTGACATGCGTTGCTAGTATGTGTCGAAATGCTCTGCTGTCGTGTTTTGATGTGTTCTGCGGTGCTGTGTCATGATACGATACAATATGTTATGTCAAAGTGTGTTATGTTATGCCCATCTATGTTCTGCTATGTTGTGCTATGTCTGTTGGTCTACCATGCTCTGCGCTGGTGTGTTATGTTATGTGATGTTGGTTCGTTGGTGACCCAGCTCTGTGTAGTCGATTATGATATGATTTGCTAATATGTGCCGCTGTGCTCTACTTTCGTATTATGATACTTTCTGTGATGTTATGTCATGATATGGCATGTCATGTCAAGGTTTGTATGCGATGTTCGGTTATTGTATGGTATGTCGTGCTATGTCATAGTATGGTATGTCATGTCCTGCTCTGGTATGTTACATGATGTTATGATATGCGCTGTGTTGTCATGACATTGTTATGTACTGTTCTGTCATGTTCTATCATGCTCGTGTTCTGCTCTGCCATGCTCTCCTGTGGCATTTTGTGTTCTGTCGTGAAAGTCATCGCTATACCCTGCTGTCGTGGTATGATATGCTCTGTGATGCTTTGTCACGATACGACATGATATGTCAAGGTGTGCTATGTTATGCTCGGTTATGTCATGTTATTCGTCGAGGGCGCGAGGCTGAATCATCGGGACAACTTGGGGTCTGGCGGCCGCGGTACGCGGGGTGGGGTTGGCCCGGCGCGAGGCGGGACACCCAGGATACTCGAGACACTCGGGACAACTTGGGGTCTGGCGGCCGCGGTACGCAGGGCGGGGTTGGCCAGGCGCGAAGCGGGAAACCCAGGATACTCGGGATACTCGGGACAGCGTGGGGTCTGGCGGCCACGGTATGCAGAGTGGGGTTGGCCAGGGGGGCCTGTTCTTGAAATTCAACACCCCAACCTGTCGGGTGGGATGAAACTGTCTAGTTGTCAATTACTGCAACCGTTCGTTGATCTATACGCGCTCAAGTCAATCTACCCACCTGACCGACACGGAAATCGAACAACTGACGCAAACACATGTGTTTTACAATAGTTGCTGGCCCTTCGACCTGAAGCCCGTGTTGTCTATAATTAATGGTTTCTCGGCCTCTGGCTTGCCAGGAGGCGCCACGAGCAGAGAGGGAGGGAAGGACGAGGATGAGCACACTTGAAAAACAAACTTGACTGAACAGGCTCTCTCCGACAACAAGCTGAAAAACTGTTAAATCGCACAGGCCTGCATCGAATCTGCCGCTCCCCCCTTCTCCCTCCTCCCCCTCCCCCGTCCTCCTCCTCCTCGGACTCCTCTTCCAGCCTCCTCCTCTTAGGGTATGACTGACGGCACATCCACCCCTTTATTCCACTGCATGCTCCTCCACAACCCTTGTCAAGGCAACTCGCCTTGGCATCGTTTGTGGATGGGCTGGTGGGTTTACGCGAAGTGCTCCACATTGACAGCGCCCTGGGCGACACCGACAGCGGATCTGGTTCAAGATGGGTGGGAAATGGTGTCGGCCTTCGCCCATGCTTTCCGTCCCCATCCCCGCCCTCCCGCAGCGTGCGCCTTTTCGACGATGGCCGCCTCACCGCCTGCTGGCCGAGCCCAACATCGGAGATAGCAAAACCGGGCCGACGGGCGGCCAGGTTTGAGCAGGGACCGACCGTCTCGGCATTCCTATAGTCCTACCACGACATGTTCTTGAAACCCAAAACTGTTCTCAGAACAAAAATAATGTTCTTAGAACATAAACCCGATGTGATAAAATAAGACAGGCTCCGACAGACATGTTCTAAGAACATTTCGTGGAAACCACAGAAGGTTCTTAGAGAATTGTTTGTAGGGCTATAGGCGAGCCAGGACGCTTCGCCACTGCTTGACAGGTGCTGGTCCCCATGGCTACGCCGGCTCGAAGCACGGCTTGCCGTCCGGGCCGCGCAGCGTCGCCCACCCGAGCACTCCGTCCGCGGCACTGGCGCACCGTATTCGTCGGCGGCCGGAGGGCGCGTCCACGGCAGGGCCCTCGACGACGTCCAACCTGAGCGTCTTTTAGCAGGGCTGAATCTAAACGGTGTTTTTCGTTTTCGTTTTGTGTTCGTTCTCCCTCGCTTTTGTCTCGAATCTGCCTTTACCGCAAACCGAAGTCGAAACGAAAACGGCCCACGAAATCACCAAAAACACCGTTTAGGTCCAGCCGTGTCTTTGAGGGGTGGATCGGGGATCTGGTCGCGGTCGGCATGGCAGTGGCTGAGACTTGGCCCTGCGCTCGGGGCATCGTCAGAACGACCGAAGGAACCACCACTGCGGACGATCGTCTGGGCCTGGCTGAGACCAGGTGGGGCCAGAAGGCTCGGACTCGCAAGAACCACAGGCACCGCAAGACGCGACCATGCCGACGCTTCTAGCCCGCAACCAGAACCTTTGGACGGGCAACGGGGCGGGTACGATGCCGATGCTTGCAGAACGCAACCATGGTCGCGCGCGAGGCGGCTGAGCACCAAAAGGAGGATGAGGAGAAATAGGACGAGGAGGAAAACAAGGATGAGCAGGAGGAGGAGAACAACATGACGACGATGACGCAGACGCCGACGCCGACGATAACGGCGACGTCGACGACGATAAACGTTTCGAGCCTCGGTTTCGGCGGGTTGGTCAAACCGAAATAACATGACGACTACGACGACGACGACGGCGGCGGCCGCGGCGACGACGACGACGAGGGAGCAGGAGGATGCACCCGATCCACGTGAGCTGCTTCCAGAAAATTGCAGGGTCAAGGAAAGGGGGGGCCCAGAGGTCCCAACAAATACATATAGAAATCTGAGCGTTCGCCCCCTTGATCCCTCCTCGATGCCTCCCCGATCCTCGACCTTCCACCCGCCCCCCCGATCCTGTAACCCTCCTCGACCCGAGGTCGGAATGGAGAATCATCGCTGCATCCTCCGCCAAAACATGGCGCCAGACTGGTGCATCGGCATTTGCGTTTCTACGGGCTCCCCATGCTTCATGAACCCCAGAAAGCGGCCTTTTTCATCCTCCTCCGCCGAACCTCCTGCTTCTCGTCTGTATTGTTCCTCCCCTTCTCTTTCCATGAAATGTCGTTCGGCAGCGCTCGGCGCTGGCAGCGCTCTTCGGGACAACCTGACAAGGTCCGGGAAACTTCCGGGAGCGCTCCCTAGTTTGCTTTCGCCCTGCGGAGGTTCCAGGCTCCAGCGCCCATGACCCCCGCGCGAGCTCACTGCCCGCGCATGGTGGGCGTCAGCCCGAGCCGCACTTCCCATCGCGCAACGTAGCTTACGAGCCAGCGCACCGCGCAACTACGCGGTCCCCGAGCCCGCCCAGCAGAAGGCGACCGCGCCAGACGAGGGCGCGCCGCTGACCATGGAAATGCACAGCAGCCTCGTCGCGCGCGCTGGCGAAGGCGAATGCCAGATGCCCTGCGCCATCATCCACCCCTTCTGTATCGCCTGGAGCCTGATCTTGAGCTCGTTGCCGCTGCTGTTCGCTGCGTTGACCGGGGCCCCTGGGCGCTCCAGCTCCAACCCGCGTCGACACCCGCTCCCCGCGAACGACTGATTCGCCCGGCGGGGGGGGGGGCGCGGGGCGAGCCCTGCCAGGGGCTTTTCTGACCGTTGTAGGCCCTCGCCGCCAGCACCCGGCCCAAACTAACGTCGCTGTGCCTCGGATCTGCGTCTTCGGAATGTTGCCCATGAAGCAGCCTCGAGACGCGCCGCGATGTTGTAGTTCTGCATGGGGATCTCTGGCTCGGACGCGTCGCCCAGGGCGCAGCCGGAGTCGCCGCGGGCGGCCGCCCCGCCGTCCGCTGCCGGCGCTATCGCCGCCAGGGCCAGGCGGCGCAGCAGCGAGATGCCCGTCGCGAGTGCCAGGTCGGCGTCCTCGAGCTCATCGTTCTCCTCGAGGCGGGCAGCGGCGCCGCGCTCGAGGTCCTGCTTCCGACAGCAGCCGAAGGCGCCGGTGGCGCCGCAGTTCTTGCGCGGGACGGCTTCGCCCGAGCTGCGATCCATCCGCGCGACGGCCCCCGCTGTCGCCGCGACGTGTCCCCGCCGACGCCCGCGCGCAGATGGACGCCCCTGATGGGGGCCGAAAAAGGGCCGCCTCGGATCGGGCCCCCTCGCGCCGTGACCCGCCAGAACGGGCGCGTGCGCTGGCGGCCCTCCCGCCACCCCCTCCTTCCCATCGCGCGCGTCAGGGCGCTGCCGCGCTCGCCGAACGTGGGGGGCCAGTCCGCGCAGCCCGCGCACCGCCTAGACATCGCAGTTGGAAGCGATCGCGCGGATCTGGGCCTCGAGGTTGCTCGGAGAGGCCTGGCGCGGGGCGAGCTCCCAGGCCCGCGCAGGGAAGGGTTGCCGAGCCGGCTTGCGCCCGCCACCATCCTCGGCACTATCGACGGCGTCCACCAAGTCGGGGCAACCGTGCCGGTCTTCGCCCGCCGCAAAATCTAGACCGTCGCCTTGAAGTCCCCCGTGCCGCGCTTCACCGTCTCCTGGGACAAGTCGTAAATCGCCTGGGACGGCGCAGTCGTCGGCGCTGCTCCAATCCACCAGACGCAAGGCCAACGCATTTGGGCAGAACGGGGCGGTGGCAGAGGGGCCTGCGAGGCAGCCGTCGAGCGGGTCGCGGCTGTGGAAGGCCAGCCGCTCGCGGCTAGGATTGCAGCTGGCGCGCGCCCGCAGCTCCCGCTCTTCGCTGACATGCCCGCGCGAACCAATGATCCTGCTAGTCTCGGCGCCAACTCCATGACTCGAGCCCGCCATGCGCGACGCAACTCCCCCTCCGCGCGCGCCGGCCGCCCGCGACCCCGTCGTCGCCGGCGCGACGGCGCCTGCGGGTAGCTGTGCAGCTCCGAACGGCGCCCCCCCAACTGCGCGGCCTCCGATTTAATGTTCTCCGCCGCAGCCTCCGCCTCCGTCGCGGTCGCGCGGGGCACTGGGGCCGCCCGTTCGCTGATCATCTTGCATTTGCGATCGCCCATCCTGCGCTCGACGTCAGGCTTCGCGGCCGCCGTCGAGACATGTTGGCGCCGCCATGCGCGACGAGCCCACGACTAATGCTGCGCGCCCCGTGGCGGCTGGCCTGCTCTCCAGGATGTCGAGCGAGAGGTTGATCTCATCGGGGGCCCTGGGGGGGCGCCGAAGGGTCTCCGCCCTGCCCGCGCCGGGCATCGCGGCCCCGGCGCTCCCGAAGCGGGGGCTGATAGAGGGGGGGGGGGGGGGGCTGCAGCTTCGCGGCGATGGAGGCGCGGCCCAACGCCGCGGCGGCAACTCGCCATCTCCCCCGCCCGCCGCCGCGCTCCAAGAGGGCGCTCGCGCTCTGAAAGGGGGAGATGCATTGCATGTGCGCGGGAACTCCCTGCGCGCCAAAGGGCGCGCGGCCTGCCTGGCAGGTCGCGTCCGGCGCGTCATCCTGGAGCGCGCTCACCAATCGCGCGCGAATTTGCCCGCGCAGTTCTCCGTCTCCGCGACGCGCGGGCCGACGACGGTGGCCTCGTCGAAGTGAAGGGTCAGACTTGCGCGCGCCTTGCCGCGCCGCCGCTTCGCCCCTCGCCGGCGGCGGCAGGGGGGGGCAATGGAAAACGAAGCCCGCAATCATCAGTGACCCCGAAGCGACGCGGGCGACGCCTCCTCTGCCTCCCAGGCCCGCAGGGGCGAGCGCCAGCTCGCCCGCGTCGTAAGGCGCTTCGACAGGAGGAGAGCGCAGACGCAGCTCTCGTTTACCATCCTCGCCCTCCCCCAGCCGACGCGAGCGACGCGGCGCCGCGTGGCCGCCGCCGTCTTGCGATGAGCTCCCCGCCAAGACCTGCCGCGCATGAGTGCGCGGGGGGCCCGTGATGCCGCGCCCCTTCAGCGCCGCCGCGGCCGCGTCCTGCCGCGCCGCGCTCGCGAGGTTTTGCTGGCCCCACATCGACGCGAACGCCCCCCCGCCCGCGGCCCGCCGGCAGCGGCGGCGCCTGCGGCCAGAGCGCTAGGCGCTTGCGCTTGCCCCCGCGGAGGGGGGGCACGCTGGCGGCCATAGCCGCCTCGCAGGCGCGGCTGCCCCCGCCCCGAACCCCCGGGGGGGGCTCTGCGGAGCGCGGAAGGGCCCGCGCGAATACGGAGCCTGGAGGAGGAAAGAGGAGGAAGAAGGGGCGGGTGGGGGGGGTGGGGGGAGAAAGAGGAAGAGGAGTGGCACCTTTCTGGGCCGCAGCGCCGATTTTGGCACCACTTCTTGCTGAATTGTCTCGACTTTGCCGCGCTTGCCTCTCAGTGAGCGCTTGCGCGGCTGGTGGATCTCACGAAAACTTTTGACCAAGTCCTGCGAGAGCTCGTTTTTCGGGTGGCCGAATGATTTTGGAAGCGACGCAGCGCCCGGTGCCGACTATCTCGTCAAGTGTGGTTGTTCTCTGGAGGTTGCTGGGTGGATCGATCTGCGAGCGCATCGAGTCGCATGGCGCTGCCTTTGAGCAAATGGAGGTTGATCCGAAAGTGTCGGCGCTCGCTTGCGGAATACATTCGAAATCCTGGTTCCAATGCCCAGGGTGCGACACACTCGTGTGCGCCATGAAGGGGGGAGGCAATGATGCAAGCTTGGTGGGGCCGTCCATAACAGCGCTTACGCTCATATTATACTTGCTTTGAGATCAAGGCTGCAAGGCGCCGGCGTAACTTTACGTATGAAGCGCCATGAACGCCCTTTCTGGGCGGAGAACGCCGCAGAGAGCCGACAAGAGGAAGATGCTGTAAGTAGTTGTGGTTGACGATTTGTGCGTGGTGTCGTTCGGGTGCTTGCCCCGCCTGCTGTGGGAAGCCGCGCGCGCGTTGCTAGAAGCGTTCGTTGGAAACTTCTCGTCTTTCCGTTTGCCCATGGTTGGAACAAAAAACAACATTCAAACTTTTTTGCAATTTCGCGGTGCGGGCGCGCCCGACCACAACATGAACGGTTGTACTCAGAACCGTTTTGGGATCCCCCTGCAAAGCGGTGCCTTTTTGCATGTTGTGTCTGGGTATAAACACCTTGGTTCTGTGACGGCGGTGGGCGGGTCAAGCATCCCATATCCATATGCGAGCCAGAAAGCAAGCAACCCGCTATGCTCGTACGCGCCCTTCGCCCGGAAGCTGTTTGGGAACACCCGGCTCTCCGAGTGTCGCTTCGCACTTTGTTCTGACATAGCTTGGTCTTGTCGACGTTTGTATACAATGCTTATGTGAGAGTTCTGAACAGGTTCTGACATTCATTCTCGGGAACATGCTGGCCTGGTGTCCTTAGGTTGCATGCTGCTGCAGAGGAGGCTTGTGTATCTTGCTCGTCTTCTCCGCTTCGCCAGTCATGCGTTGTTTGCTTTGCTGTCTGAAGGGCGTGACAGAGGGGACGGGACCCGTCAAATGAGTCCGTGGGTCAGACAAGTGAAAGCACACTTGTCATCTTGCCATTGATTCTCCACTGCAGCCCGACCGGGCGGTGGATTCGGCCCCCTGGTGGCGCATCATGGTTGACAGCGTTCAGCAGTGGGAAGACAACGATCATGACATTCGTTTCTTCGTGTATGTGTGTAATGCATCGCGCGATGCAACTGGCAGTGGTGGGATCGCCTCTGTCTCTTACATGCAGTGCCCACGTTGTTTTGCGACGCGCCAAGCCATGTTGACGCACGCTTGGGTCAAGCACGGCGCGCGCACTGAGCGGCGGCTGTATGCCGACGAAGATGGGATATGCAAGGCATGCCGCAAACAGTTATCGACCAGACTCCGTCTCATCTCGCATTGGCCAAACGCTCATCGGACCGTTTGTTGGCTGTGGGTCGTCGCCAACACGTCACCCGTGGATACTGATAAGGTTGCGCAACTAGGCGCTACCGACAAACTCGCGTACAAGACAGCAAGACAAAATGGCCATACGCGACCGCTAACTGCGGGCCCTGTTAAGCAGACCCTGGGCGGCGTTTAATCGCATCTTCTTCACCATTGCGTCCTTTGTTGAGCTTGCGCCGGGAAAAAGAGGAGGAGGGGGAGGAGAAGGAGGAGGAGGAGGACGAGGAGAAGGAGGAGGAGAAGGAGGAGGAGGAAGAGGAGGAGGGGGAGGAGGAGGAGGACGAGGAGGAGGAAGGCCAGTGTAAACCCAAGAGTCACTAACGATGTTGGAATTAACCCCCACCCTCTTGTCCCTCGTCCGATTCCCGCTCGTGCTTCTGGTCCTGCGGCCCCTCCTCCCAGAAGCACCTGCCGCCTCGAAGTCCCGCTCCCCCCCTGAAGCTTGACCCTCCCCCCCCCGGAAGGACGGCGGACTCACCGCACCTTCTTCCTCCTCTCCCTTCTCCCTCGCTCCTCCCTCCGCGCGGGGCAGACGAGGTGCTCATGGGAACCCCCCAGACTCTAGACCTCAAACCCGGGAAAAAAGGCGTGGTGATTGTGCAGACCTTGCGCAATATTCTCTTGTCGTTGATCCTCTCACTCGCCGAGCCAAGAGATCGCCAGGTACCGCGACAGTCCATGACGCTGAGCACTCCGATCTTGCCCCCGCCCTCCCCCTCCTGCCTCCCCCCTTTCCTGCCCTCATCTCCCTCCTCGCCGAGTCGAGGGAGGGATCACCAGGATCCACCCCCCTCCTCCCCCCCAACCTCGCCCCCTCCTCGCCAATCCCTGCCCCCCCCCTCCCTTCCCCTCCTGTCGGGGGCGCGCAAACATGGATTAGCGATCCATGGATTTAGCGCGCGGTCGCCAACTCCATGGATCGGGGGAGGTGCCCTCCCCAAAATGCGGCCAAGGCCGCCTCGTTCGGCGGCGGAAATCCGCGATTTCCCATGGAAACGGGACCAGTCTTTAATCCACGCCCCCGTGATCCATGTTTGCGATCGCCTGATCCTGCCCCACCCCTCCTCGCCGAGCACCACAGGACCGCCGGGATCCCGGCCGATCCCCGACGCTGAGCACCCCGCTTCTGCCCTGGCTCGGCCGCGCGGCCGCCGTGCGGCTCCGGGTCGGCCAGGCCGTCGGTGAAGGACACGGCCTCGGACGGCCCAGGAGCGCCGAGGAGGACAACTCATTACGACGACGGCTCCTCTTCCACCTCCTCTCACTGCTCCCCCTCTTCCTCCTCCCACCCCCCCTGCTCCTATCTCATTCTCCTATCTCCTCCTCCTCCTCCCTCCTCCTCCTCCCTCCTCCCTCCTGCCACTCCTCCTCCTCCTCCTCCTTCTCCTCCTCCTTCTCAACCTCCTGAAGCTCGGCGAACCCATCGGTGAAAGTCACAGCCTCAACCACCCCAGAGAGAGAGAAGCAAGGAGGAGCAGGAGGCGGAGGAGACGGACGAGGGGAAGGGTGACGGCTCACCGAGGGAACCCGTAGCATGAAGCGGCTCAGAATGTTCCCTGACACTTTGCGCTGACTCGTTGCCAAAATGGTTGCCCCACTTCGTCGTCATTCTCCTCCTGCTGGTCTTCTTCTCACTTCGGCACCAAGGAGTGTGAATTTGCTCCCCTCCTCCCCCTTCACAGGTCGCCCTGAGTGAAGCCAAAACTCCATCTTGTCCGCTGATACGGGAGAGAGATGGATTGCGAGCCGGAGGGTATGGGGCGATAGTGACAGGGCGAGATACTGGCCGTACACGGAGGCCAGTGAGAAAGACAAGTACGATGACGCAGCGGAGGAGCGGGATTCGATCTATCTAAGTACAGATGGAGAGAGAGAGAGAGAGACTTAGTCAGAAAACGGTGTTCAACGAGGATGTTCCACGTTGCCGCCAGTAGCCGTTTCGTGGCCGCCTCGTGCGCTGGGTGGGTCTGGCGAGGATTCGCCACGTTGCAGACCGTGGCCACCTCTAGCTGCTAGCTTGCACCTCGTGTTCTGCACAACACAACTCACATCACATAGCTTGCGCCAAATAGCTTACACTTGCAACGTTCCTTTAACATACTCTGTGGGAGACCACCACCACCAGTGCGAAGAGCCAGGGGGGATCATCCTGGTGGTGTTGTCTCCTCCTCTCGCTCGAGGCATCCCCCGTCCACAGCTCGGGGGGGCATTTTTGTTGGACGACGTGGCCCCCCTGGTGGTGGTGGTGGTGGTGGTGGTGGTGGTGGTGGTGGTGGTGGTGGTGGTGTCGCATCTTCTTCCTCCGAGACCGATAAGCGGCAAAGGGTGGGTTCGGATTGCGGCAGGACCGTGTCGTGCCGACTCTGGCGCTTCTCTCTCAGACCACGGGACTCGTTCAGCCTAGAACGAGATCGACCGTTTCCAAAACGTCAGATCGGTCAACACTGACCGATTCTGGATTGCCGGCGGCGTCCAACGTTCGGGGATGGACATAACCTTCTTTAGCAAACCGCGGCTTCGTGAAAACGACCTCGGGCGTAAACCTGGTGGGCGCAAGCCTGCGAAATGACGGCTGCGGTGCCCTTTTCGAGAACCGAAAGCCGACAGTTCACTAATCGACGTGTCAGGGTGGGTGGGGGTTCTGTCCACCCCCGAAGCGTTGAAAGCAAGCGGCGGGATCGTCGCCGGCCGACACGCCGCGACCCTGCCCTACCGACGCCTCTTGAGGGGCAGAGTCAACCAGTATAGTAAGGATGCGCGATAAGGATGCAGGGCCTTCGACGCCCATTTCGAAGCTTTTCGAGCGGGGCGCGGCCAGCGAAAGCGGCCAAGGATGGGCCGAGAATGCAAGGATGCAAGGGTACCCTTGGGAAGGTTGCCCATCCTTCCTATGCGGGTTGACTGCAGGTGGGGGGGGCGCTTTTCGGTAGCCCCCGTCTGCCTGCTGGCACACGCACTTCAGGCTCCACGGCCGCAGCTGCCCCGCCACGCAGATCCAGCCGGACTCGAGGGGGGGAGCGGAGAAGCAACACTCGGGCGGTGCTTCACGGGGGGCCATCCGACAGGTGGGGGTGAAGAAAGGTGTGAAGCAGGGTGGGGTTGCTTCAGAACGGTGGGGTGTGAAGAAGTGTGCGCCTTCCGCGCACCTTCGGGGCCCCATGGGGTCGCCTTGGGGCCCCGTTAGGGCCCCTTTCCTGCAGCCCTCGCCCCCCCGTGCGCAACGCCCGACAATACCTCCTTGGTCTTCCTCCGGCTGCTCCTGCTCATGTAGCGCACCAGAACTGGTATCGGGCACCGTGCACCCCTGGCATGCTTGGGCGTGGTAGTATGAGTCCCCAATGATGTCTGACATGGGTTCTGTAACTTTCCAAGAACCCCCTCTGCTACGGCTCCCACGACGGCCCAGGCAGGTCGCCACGGCCGTCAAGACGGCCCAACAGTACCTCCAGACAAACTCAAATGCCCCAAAGAGGAGCCCGGTAGGTCCCAAGAGGCCTCCACAGACCCCGACGACTACATCTCCAAGACGCCGTCCAGGGTGCTCTCGAGAAACCAACAGCGTTGATGCTTCTAAGCGTATTGATCGGTCGAGGTCTTCTTTCGAGGATCGGTCCACTCGTAATCTTCAAGGACAAGGCCCTGAGGAGCCCACTGAGAGCTCCAACGGGCCCCTAGACTGCCCAGGACAGCTCCAAGAGAGCTCCAAAAAGGCACAGGAAGGCTCCGAGGGACCCAAGACGGCCCAGGAGGGCCCCTATAAGCGGACCAACAAGGCCCCAAGACGGCCCAACGACGGTCCGAAGAGACCCCCCAGGCAGCCAAGAGAGCCCCTGGACGGCCCAGCAGGCCCCCAAGACGGCCCCAGGGGGGACCAACAAGGGCCCTAAGAGGGCCCGAGAGGTGCCACATTCGACGGCCTTCCCGCGACGTTGCTCGAAGGGTCGCCGCACAGAGTGCTTCGCTGGCACGGTGGCGCAGTTGCTGCAGGCGGCCGGATGGCATTTGCAGTCTTCCGCCGTCGGGGACGCTGGCCCCAGGGCGGCAGGGAAATTCATCTGGGGGCGCGCAAACATGGATCAGCGATCCATGGATTTGGCGCGTGGTCGCCAAATCCATGGATCGGGGGAGGTGCCCTCCCCAAAATGCGGCCGGTGCCGCCTCGTTCGGCGGCGAGAATCCGCGATTTCCCATGGAAACGGCTTGCGATCGCCTGAAAGGCTGCAGGGAAATTCATAAACCCCACGTGCCGCCGAGGAGGGCATGAACTTCCCAGCCGCCCGGGAGACGGCGCCCCGCCTCCCCCCCCCACGCTGGGGAGAGCACTGAAAGAAGAAGAGGGAGGCACGAGATCTGGGATAGATCCTGGCGGCTCCGGCCGTGGTGTCTGCACACCTTGCTTCGCGTCCCCCTCTGGAGCGCCCCCGAGCTCCGAGACCTGGCTCCGGTTCGCGGCAACAGCACGTGAACCCTGCCCCTGCAGGTCCGACTTCTGCAGCGCGGGCTGGGGGTCAGAATTCGAAAGATGTCTGCCTTCAAGCAAGGCTGAACCTAAACAGTGTTTTTCGTTTTCGTTTTGTTTTCGTTTTCCTTCGGTTTGTCTTCAATCCGCCTTTACCGCAAAACGAAGTCGAAACGAAAACGGCCCACGAAATCGCCAAAACACCGATCAGGTCCAGCCCTGGGTCAGAATCCGAAAGATGTCTGCATTCAAGCGAACCCCCGCGGGGGTGTCCGATGCCGTCGGACCCGCAGGGGCAAGGTTCTCAGAAGGAGGGCAAAACGCCGCCCCCCTGGATCGTCACAGCGGGAGAGCTCCCGTTCGGGGCTGGTGGCTTGGAGCTCAGGAGCCCCTTCGTCACGATTTGTTCGCGAGAAGGATCGGCGGTGGGCAAACCTCCCTTTAATAACCCTCCCCTCAGTGAAAACGGCCTGGGACCGAAACCGACGGACCTGGACCCAAAAAGTAACGGCCGTGACGCCCCCTCGCGAACCGAAAACGGCCAATTCGCTAATCGACGTGTCAGGGTAGGAGGTCTATCAACCTCCGAAAGGAGGGCGCCCGAGCTCGGGGCAAGAAGAAGCCAGGGCTGAGGCAACATAGGACCAGGATAAGCAGGCGACATCCAGGATCTGGCGCTTCGGCAGGATGCATTGGGCGCCGCGGCTGTTCCAGAGCGCATTGGATCTCGCTGAAGGCGTTCCGGAACGCTCTGGAACTATACGTGATCCAGGGCTCCCCCCCAATGCTAATGAGATCGGCACCCCTCCCCCCCGCTGGATGATAAACGCCCGTGAGCCTCCTGAAGGCCTCTCGAATGGGATCTCCCTACCGCCCCCCCCCCCCGTGGTCGTGGCCCTGTGGGCGTGGCGTGGTGGAGGGGGTGCCGGTGCTCCCGCCCCTCCCCCTGTGGGTGTGGGGTGGTGCTGCGGTGCTGTCGTCGTCGTCGTCGTCGTCGTCGTCGTCGTCGTCGTCGTCGTCGTCATCGCCGTGTCGTCATAGTCCGTCGTCGTCCTCGTCCGTCGTCGTCGTCGTCGTCGTCGTCGCCGCCGCCGCCGTCGTCGTCGTCGTCGTCGTCGTCGTCGTCGTCGTCGTCGTCCTCGTCGTCGTCGTCGTCGTCGTCGTCGTCGTCGTCGTCATAGTCCGTCGTCATCGTCCGTCGTCATCGTCGTCGTCGTCGTCGTCGCCCCCCCCCATTCCATCTTGGGGGGTGCAAACCCATCCCTTGAGAATGCAGGGCCCCATCCCTCAGCGCCCCATCTCTGCATCGCCCATGCTGGTCCCGGGCCCCGCTGCTGGGGTGCACCCGAAGATGGCCCTCCCATCCGCTGCGGGCGCCGCTCCCAGACTCCCTCCGTGCCTTGCCGTCCTCGATGGCGCGGGCGCGGAGCACGCTCTTGGCGTCCTGCATGACCTCCTTGGGCGGCTCCAAGGCCTCGATGGCCTCTCCCGCCGACAGCCTCCGCACCACGGGGGAGCCCGACGCCCAATCCTCGTGGAGAGGAGCGCCTCCGTCGACCGTGTAGTGCTTGGTGCTCTTCTCGACGAACACCGTCCCCTGCTTGCCCACCAGGGTCACCCAACCCTCGGTGCCGTCGCTCACAGCGCGGAATCTCAGACGACTCAGATCGCCAGCTCCGGCGTCCTTCCCGCCCCCGTCGACGAGCTCGAGAACCTCGCCGACCGCTACCTTCCGGACGGCCTTGGTATTCTTCAGCTCGAGGGTGCTCGTCATGGCTATGGTCGACTTGCACACGTAGAACCCCTGAGCCGGCGAGGCGGCTTGTCTACCAGTGGCGTCGCGCAGGGTCAACCAGCCGGTCGCCCCGTCGCTGCTCGCCTTGACGTGGAGGAGCAGCTCCGGCGGCACCTTCTCTTGCTGTGGGCCCTCGAGGAGCTCCAGGACCTCGTCCGCGCGGATAGTTCTGACGATCTCGGACTTGTCGTCGGACTGCAGCGGCGATTCCCGGGTAGCCCACATGAAAGGCTTTTCCCTGTGCTTCAGCAAGGCCTTCCCCTCGCCGTCCTGTGAGGGGGACTGACAGGGGGGGGCCGCTCAAGGGGGGGAACATCAAGCTCACATCGGCGACGCATCGCCGAGAGATCGGCGACGGGCCCCCGATCGCGAAACCGCACGCTCCTGGGCGGGGTGGGCCACCAGACACCTACTGGCGAGGTATGTGCGACTCGGACTCGATGATCTAACCCCCCTAATTAACGCTGCCCCTGGGTCCTTCAGGGTTGCCCAACCAATCACTGCATCCTTGATGGCGCGGATGCGGATGCGCTGCGCCTTGGACTCCGAGTCCTCAGTGGGCCCCTCCAGCAGCTCGAAGATCTCGCCCTTCTCGAGCTTCCGCAGGACGGTGCCAGCTGCCATGGCGCACGAATCCGCGATCGGCGTGCTGACCAAGCAGATGCCGAACTCCTGCATAGCCCTGAGGAAA